ACTGCGTGGGAGGCTGACTGGGCAGCGGGCTTTGATGGCTTTTTGCCAGGTGAGGAGTGAGAGTAAGGAAGTTCTGCCTGGTGGTCATGTCTTGCGGCCCCTTGTCTGTCCCCACTGCCCTGGAGCCCCTGGCTAAAGTTGGCAGGAGGCTTCCTTGAGCTGTCAGAGGGACCGGGCAGGGGCTGTGTTCACTGTGGGTCTGGACAGGATCATGATCTCGTGGCAGTGTCTTAAGATCCCTTTTCCATGAGTCCTTCCGCTTTCCTCTGAGAACTTGGGCTTCGGGGATACCCGTCTGAAGAGTGCTGCTCGCTGGGGAGCACTGTGGCCTTGGAAGGCTGAGAGGTGGCATCTGGGTGGCATTTGGGCTGGTCACCAGCACTGCCTCTTGAGAGAGGGACTCCTGATCCATTAGACTTGGGGTTCTGTGAGCAGCTTGGGAGTAGCAGTAAGAGCCAGGAGATGGTCTCTGTGAGCCTGACCAGGACATTTTCCTCTTAGGACGTGGGGTTCTGGGGATGCCTTCGATGGGGTGCAGTACTCAGCAGGTGCTCCCTAAGGGCCACTTGTCCTCCATAGAGAAGTCGGGTCTAACAATCTCCAGCCCAAAGAAAGGACGAGGGCTCTTCCTAGACCCTGCTCAAGTGGCCTGACTAAGCCTCCAGCATGCATGCCTACCAGGCCTCTTAAGGGAGGTCTTGGGCCCATTATCATCACCTTTGGGGAGGTCCTGTTCCTGCCTGGGCCCTGTCTGATCCCATTGTGAGCAGGGTAGGCTCAGCAAGCCCCCAGTGGGTCAGGCCTCATGGCCCACCTACAGGTTCTGCCAGGTTCTGGACATGACTGCAAAACAGCTGCAAAGACCAGGAAGAAAAGGCGCCAAGGAGGGCCCAGACTTGTTCTGGGTGGCCCGGTGGACTCCAAGTCCCTTCACCACTCTGACCCCCAGCTTGCACATCTGTAAATTGGACCTGTAGTGATGCCTACTGCCTGAGGCTGTCGTCAGGGTGAATGAGTCAGTACCTGTAGCTACAAAATATTTAGAGCTCTCCGTGGCCCCCTAAATGATGAGTATTATTCCTGCTGCCGTGGTTCGTACTGAAAGGTAGATTTCGTCTTCGTGCCCAGCCTGGAGTGTCCTGAGCCCCTGCTGCTGGCAGTGTGCAGGTGTGCTGGCTGACTGCAGTCATCAGTGGAGTGCTTTTCCTCTCCTTAAGTGGGTTGTAGTGAGCATGACAAAACAATAATACAGAGTGCAATGCATGTGGTAAAAGTATTGTGGCGTAATTTTCCATTTCCCATACGTGTGCACGCACAGATGTGTGTTCATCCCACTGTGAAACGCGCTGTTCTCTGTCGGTCACAGTCAGGTGAGTTTGAGAAATACATGAACTGTTGCAGGACTTCACACAGTGGATGGGGTTGGGCTTCACCTTGAAAGGCACTTTCTGACCTTGGGATTTTGTGATCACTTCTTTACCCTGGGGGAAAGCCTTTGTTTCTATGGGTCTCTGTTTTCCTTTTCCTTCTTCTTCTTCTTCTTTTTTTTTTTTTTACTAAGGGAAGCTTTATTTCTTCCCTTCCAAATCTTGTGCCGCCCCCCCCCCCCTTTTTTTTTTTTGGCTGAGGAAGACTGACCCTGAGCCAACATCCACACCTGTCTTCCTCCATTTTATATGTGGGACACCTACCACAGCATAGCCTGCCAAGCGGTGCCATGTCCACACCTGGGATCCGAACCGGTGAACCCTGGGCTGCCGAAGCGGAACGTGCACACTTAACTGCTGTGCCAACGGGCAGGCCCCACTCCTCCTCTTGTTTGCCTGAGGAAGATCAGACCTGAGTTAACATCTGTGCCAGTTTTCCTCTACTTTATATATGGGACACCAGCATGGCTGGTGAGTGGAGTGGGTCCGTGCCTGGGATCCAAACCCACGAACCCTGGCCACCGAAGAGGAGCATGCAGAGCTTTAACCACTTGGCCATGGGGCTGAGACTTCTGTTTTCTTATCTGAATGAGGGAGTGGGGAATAAAGTGGACAATTCCCATTCTACCCAAGTCTTGCCTTTGAGCCATGCTGCCTCTGGTTCTATTAAGCACAGCTGCCTGGAGGAAAGGTTCCCTTCTTGATAGCTCTAAATGGCCCTTCTCTGTATTTCTGTCTTGCTTTCCTCTTCTTTCTCTCTGGCTCTTAGAAGCCCACCTTCCAAACTCCTAGGATCCAACAAGAAATGGAGGAGCCTGTTCTCCCTAAAGTGTCCCTGCTTGGGCCAGGGGTGGGGGTAGAGGCCCCCAGGCAGTGAGGCTGCCATAGCAGGATCTTCTGAAGCCAGCCTCTGACAGGTGCCCTGGCTCCAGCGGGCAGAAGTTCCTTTGGCCTCTGGTGGGCCCTGGGGGCAATGACAAGGAGGAAGGCTGGGTTCTCAGCAGGATGTGGTCACATCCCTGGAGAGAGGCCCTTGGCTTGTGCCCTCTTGCTTGGTCACCTCATGCTTAAAACAGTCTTCAGCCCTGTAGCAGCCCTGCCATCTTAGCTAGTGTGGTTTGCAGGCCAGAAGAGGGACAGAGGCCCCCAGATGGTTGGAGGGTCATCTAGTGACATTGCCAGGTGAGGACTGAACCCATTAGTTGGCACCGTGGCAGACTCGGATGGCCTGCAGACAGCCATCCCTTTTTTTAAAATGAAACCAGGAAAACTAGGTGACACTCAGCCTCTTGGGAAGCCTGGATTCCTAACCTCTGGAGGTGCAGAATCAGGGCAGGAAGCTCGTCAGACAGAGCTGGCTTCTCTGCTGGTGGCGTTGGGACAAGGGGTTCCCTCTGGCTGGATTTGGGTTACAGCCTAGATATTTGCCCTTGCTCTCCCAGTACAAGGTCCAGCCTAGCCAGGAAATGGGTCGCTGCGGAGTATGTTCTCTTCCCCTTCAGAATGCTGAGAATGCACGTGCATGTGGCCTGCTCCTGAACAGAGGTGAGGAGGGCCGGTGAGGCCTGGAGGCTGTCTGGAGACCCTTGATTGAGTCTCCTCGAGCTCTTGTGGGTGCAGGAGATGCAGTTAGGTGCAGAGAAGTGAAGGGGCAAGTGGGGGTGATGGTAGTGCCAGCCTCAGAGGGTGGTGGGGCTGGTCAGTGAGAGGATGCACTGGACCAGGGCATGGCATTCAGTCAGTGTGTGGCAGAGCGCGGTGTCACAGCAGGGGCTGCTGTAGCGCTGGTGGTCATGGTGCCTCCTCCCTCAGGTGGCGCTCTTGAGACTGGGGAGGAACCATTTTCAGGGCATTTGTCAGTGTGGACCTGGACCAGGGTTCCAGGGTTGCCTCCTGTTGTGACCACTGTTGACTCTCTGCTCCCTCTTCTGCACGTGTAATAAAATAAGATTAGATAATGCCTGCCCCACAGTCGGTCATATATAAGGAGGCGTGAGAGAGGTGGTAATGGCAAGATCTGACACACAGGAGTAAATAAACGCTCACTTCCTTCAGCCCTAGCTTGTTATGTCTTTGCCTTTTATCGACATTTCCGAAAGCTTTTCTGGAAGAAGGTAAAGGCCTCATTTCACACCTAGGGAAACTCAGGCCCAGAGAGGTGGTTGGAAATCTTGCAGTGCAAATCTTGCAGTTATAGGTCAGCCTGGAAAATACTGGGAAGATCATACGCGCTCCAGCTGGAGGGGCCTGGGAGCTTCCTCCTTCCTTTCATTTAGCGGACGAGAAAAGATAATGGGTAGTAGTTGGTCTGCGCTTGGCATCCACGCCAGACCCAGTGTCCTGATCTTGAGGACAGGCGCCTTCCCTCTGCCTGAGGCAGGGAGCTCACAGCCGGGCAGGGTAGGGCCCACTCCCAGAACTCCAGGAGGGAGGCACCCCCAGCTGGCCACTGTTGGCCTTTTCTTCCCCTGCTGCTTCTCCAGGGCTGCTTCTCCAGGAGTGCAACCAAAGAAGTGCCGGGCTCTTCAGGGAACTCAGTGGGAAGCTGGCAGCTGCTCCAGAGGTGGGGTGGGGGTCAGAGTCTGCCCTCTGGCTGCCTGGGGTTCTGGCCAAGGCTTCCCTCCTTGTGAGAGCCGTCAGCGAGCAGCATTAAGGTAGTGCCTCGCCTGGCTCCGGAGCAGGAGCTCTGTGCATGTGATGTGGGGGCAGCCAGGGTGACCTGTCTCCTTCCGAAAGCATCCTCACGTTAGGGGGAGGTGAGAGGCCAGAGGATATAGGGTTAGCACAACATCTCTAGGAAGGTCATTTTGGGTAATGCTTCATCTCAGTAGGAATTTCTTAAAGCTTTTTCTTATTTTTTATTTCTATACTTATTTTCATTGTCTAACAGCTTTTGCTGTCAGAAAAGGGGAAAAAGTTTTTATTTGTTGTTCCAGCGCTGGCCAGGCAGCCTTGTAGCACTCCTCATGGGCAGTCCTGGAGGGTGGCAGTGGGTCACCCACCCTGAGTGGGCTTGGCTTACCTGTAAAGCATTTAGGACATGCATGGCTCCAGCCTGCCAGCCCACAGCCTGCCTGCAAGGATGTGGCTTCTCTGTGGCTCCCTCCTTGCCTCTAAAAATAACCTTGCTATTTTGAAACCACCTTCTCTGGAGCTTTTTCTCACTGCTCTCTTGGATCAGTAACCCCTCTGAGATCAGGCTCTTGGCTGCCTCTGTCGTCCAGCTGTCCTCACAGAGCTGTCCCCTTCCTGTCTCTCCCCCTTCCCCAGTACTAGCTGGGATATTGTTTTCCAGCTAGTAAGGAATGTCCAGCTGGATGTTCTCTGTGAAGAGCGGGCCTGTCGCCACTTCTCCCTGGGGATGGGTAGGTGGGAAGTGAGGCTGCGAGGCTGGGGCGTACCCTATGCCTTTGTTGTAATTGGGGGTCCACGAAGCAGCAAGAGGGTCAGGGGCCTGCCAAGAAGCAGCAAGAGTCAGAAAGAACTGGGCGTGCGGGGACAGTCCATGCTGCCTTACTCTGCCCCTTCAGAGCTGTTCTCTGAGTGACTCCCTGCCCTGTCTTTTTCTTGCAGCCCACAACCCTCCCTCAGGGCACCATCAATATGAACCAATGCACGGACGTGGTGGATGGGGAGGGCCGGACAGGCCAGAAGTTCTCCCTGTGCATTCTGACCCCTGAGAAGGAGCATTTCATCCGGGCAGAGACCAAGGAGATCATCAGCGGGTGAGTCTGCTCTGTGCATTTTGGGAAGAGGCACTTCCTAGCCACCTGCAGGTCCTTGAACCAGGTCCCTTTGGCACAAATTGGGCAGAATCACCATCATTTTCTTCCCCAAGTATGTCTCCTCTTCTGAGTCCCCTCTCTCCGTTCACAGCGCCACCGTGTGCCCCGTCACCACACCAGAAACTAATCTCACCCTCCATGTGCCTTTGCTTCATCCTGGTGTCTGCACACTTCCCAAGGCTGCCCCCATGCATGCTGCTTACCAGGGGGCCTCCCTCTGCTGGCACTGCCCTGGTTCCAGGGCTGCCACATCTTCCTTAGGCTTCTCACTGGTGTCCCTACCTCCATTCTCACTGCAACCCAACCTTCTGTTACTCAACAACAAAGGACTCAGTCCCCAAAGCACGTCCAGCCTTGCCTCCCTCCTGCCTAAAACCCCATCACCTGGAAGCCAAGTCCAGTTTCCTTGGGGGGCCCCTTCCCCGTCCTGCAGCCTCCCCCTTACCACCCCATGTCCCTCAGCACTGAGCTGCTTGTGGCCGCACATCCCCCTGTTGCCCCCCATGTCTCTGCCTTCACTCCCGCCCCTCCCTCAGTCTGGAACACCCCCTCTCTCCTCTACGCTGTTAGCATCAGCCTGAGTGTCCACTCTTCCAGGACGCCCTCTACCAGGAGGCCCTGGGCTCTGTCAGCTGGCTCTTAGAAAAGATGGAGATTGTCTGCGTGCATGTGCAGCTTCCTCAGCCAGTGGGAGGCCTTTGAGAGTGGACGCTGTGTCTTGTTTCTTGTCCCCAGTTACCCACACACAGGAGTTACTTCAGTGCTGCTGCACGCCCTGGCTTCTTTGTCTCAGTGGAAAGAAAACAAAGTCTCTGGGTCACCCCGCTCTCCTGATCATGCCCTCTGCAGGGGCTTAGGGGAAGCCCTGGGAAGTAGAAGGGGGGCCTGGATTTCCAGATGGCTGACAGTCCGGGGAGCTAAGCTCCGTGCTCCTGAGCCCATGCAGTGTCTGCCTTCTGGGAGCTCCTGCCCTTGGGGGCTCTGTTACCAGCTCTGTGGAGCCCAGCCACATGTCCATTCCCAGGGAGCAGACACCGTGGGCCTGACTGGGAGCTCGGGCACAAGATCTTGGAGAATCCCTCTTGTCTTTTAAGAATGAGGAGACAGATGAGGCTGAGGAGGCTTTGGGAGAGAGTAAATCCAGGGGTTAGGGGGACCGTGTTGATGACTGCAGCGCAGAGTAGAGGGAATTAGAATGTGAAGCCTTTTGTTTTCAACAACTGAAGGACTTCTGTGAGTGCTGGCCTTGGTGTCAGTATCTCGGCTGTAGCCCCAGCCCAGGCTGCTGCATGAGGAAGCGAGAGCACGGGCCAGAAGGTCCCCATTGTTGATGGAGTTCAAATCTACACCATACTGGGGGTGGTGCAGGCAGTCGGAGCCGTACTGCAGAGGGCCTGGGCCCACACTGGGTGCCAGTTCGCTCTGGGCTCCTCCCTGGAGTGAGGCATGTTTGCATTTCTGATTCCTGGGGGCAAACAAGAGGACCACTCTGACTGCTTCCTGATCTTAATCCTAGAACCATGCAATTTCAGAGCATAAAGGGCTTTTACAGAGCCCTCATTCTACAGTTGGGAGACTGAGGCTCTAGAAATGAGGGCACCTGAATGGGCATCCTCCAGATGTGAGTGGCAGCATGGAACAGTGGCACTTCCTGGTTTACACTTGCTGCGGCGGCCTTGTCTGGCAGGCACATCTAGGCTGACGTTCCACTGCCCAAGTGGAGTCCTTAGGGAGATCTAGCCCTCCCCCAGTCCTCCCCTCAGTAGCTGGGTCCCAGGGAGGGGTCTGGGTGACAGGTGGGATGGGAAAGGTGTGTCTCAGGGCCCTAGGACAGGCTAGGGAGCTTGTGAGCTGGGAGACCAGGTCAGTGATGTAGAGGTGCCACGTGACGTTGAGAGAGTGATGATGTCTGGCATTTGACAATGCTTCCAGCAGGTGGCCTAAGCCCTACCACCAGGCACTTGGCCCAGGCCAGGGGTTCTGGGCTCTGTCCTGAGCCCCTCTCCTGTGGTCACTTCTGTATGCATGTATGAGGCCTGCCATTCCCATGTAGCTTGGGTGGACAAGGTTGTCAGCAGGCCCAGATACCAGATGAGTGTGTACTTGGGGTCCTGCATGTAGGCTGGGCAGGCCTGAGGGTGAGAGGCTTGTGCAGTGGCCTAGTGGCGTACCCAGAGCCAGAGCAAGTCACCTGATGCCTTTCCCCTCCTCCGTCCTGGGTCTGGGCTGCTCTCGTTCCTACCCAATAGGCAGGGCTCTCAGGGAGGCAGCCTGCTGCTGGGCCCCTCACCAGGACCTTGCGCAGCAGCTTCTTCATCTGCCCCACCGGCTGGGGTGCCTGGGCCTGCTTTAGGGAGTCACTGGGGCAGTGTGCCCTGGGGACAGACTTCTGCCTCCGTCTGCTCTCCCTCCTCTGCCTCTCGCCTCACCTTCTCAGACGGACCCCTTTGCCTTGGCTTCCTTTGTAGCCTCTGGGGTCTCGCTGCCTGGCACAGCTCCTTTGCTGAGTAAACTCATCTGTGGACTCTGGGGCCCTGAGATGGGTCTAGGTGCTCGGGTCCCTAAAGAGGTGCAGACACTTCCTTCAGGCTGCCTTAGAGGGGGAGGAGTTGGGCACAGTCTATCCAGCCTTCTTTCCGGGGTCTTCTCTGAATGGATACCTCTAAACGGCCTGAGGCAGCCACGTTTTCCCCAGAGCTGGATGGAGAGAGTCAGTAGTTCCCTTGCCTGGTTCCTCAGCCAGGAGGACACCTGCAGGATGTGTGGAGCACAGCTTCACACAGCTCTCTTAGAGGAGGTGAGCTTTAGGCGGGAGTTGGCAAGGGGGACTCTTCTGTGCCCTCCTGCTGGGCTGGGTCTCAGCTTCCCCTCTTCTCTCTACCCCTACCTTTCAGCTCTGTGCCCCCTATTCTCACTCATCTTGGCTCTGCCTTCAGAGTTGGGGAGCCTGCTTGACCATGTCCCTGATGACCACATCCACCACCAAGCCGTGTCCACTTTTGCCCCTCACCTCTCTTTCTTGGGTATATTTTAACATTCACGCATCTGGATAATGTTAGATGCTTCCTCCTGGGCTTCTGTGAGAAATTCGAGTGCAAGGGGCACATTCTGTCATCTGTTCTTGGGCCTGGCATCTCTTAGCCTCCAGCCACAGCAGCACTGCACAGGGACTGAGGGTGCCTAGAGGGACTGCCCATGCTCCTCCCGAGCGTCCAGCCTTGTCCAGGCGGCACAGGAGCTTCCGAAGCTCCACTCGTCAGCAGGGCAACTGCAGCGCACATCTTCTCTCCTCTCCCTCACGGCCTGGCCTGCACGGCTCGCAGATTCGCCGGTTCGTTAGTTTCCACTTGGCAGCAACTAGGCCAGTCTGAAGGGGCTCAGGCCACCCCGAAAGGCCTGCCCCTCCCCACCACACTCCTCGCACTCCTGGGGCCCTGGAGGACGAGGTGACTTTGCCGTCTCCTCTCCCCTCCTAGGTAAAACTCTAAGAGGGGCCTTCTGCAGGCGCAGTTCTTTGGAGTGCCCAAAAGACATTTCAGCCTTTAGGGCGGGCCGGAAAGCAAGTCTTTCAACCCCTCAAGCAAGTGAACTCCTCAGATCACATGAGTGTCGCCCCCGGAGAGTCTGCTCACCTGCTGGCTTTGCAGATACAGTTGTAGCCTCCTTCTTGCACACAGAGTGACCCGCAGGACCTATGCCTCAGGTCTCTATGGTCTAGGTGATTGTTCGTTCTCTCAGCAAATTGAGAACTACCTGCTCTGGACTGGTGATTTCCCACACCCAAACCCTCTTCCCCAGCCACCAGCTGTCAACCCACAGCCAGCATAACCCTCCTGAGGTTGTCCCAGAAGGCCAGTGACTACAACCGACTTCCTTCACCACCCCCTTCTCCACCCCAAATTAAAGAAGCACCTCCAAGTGCTAAAGACACAAGCCCTTCTCCCTTCCCCAGGCTTGGGATGCTGGTGGTCCTTGCAGCCCCCAACCAGGGTGCCAGCGGTGCAGACTCCACCTCGCATTGCAGCTCAGCCACTGCCACCAAGCCCTTGGCATAGGCTGGCGGCAGGCCCAACGTGGATCCTAGTGTTCTGGGAAGAAGTAGGCCAGAGTCTCCTGCAGTACCTTCCCCTCTGGAGGAAGCAGTGGGGCTGCCTTTCACCACCACGCCCCCTCCCGCCTTTTGCTTCTTAGTCCTCTTTGTCCAACTCTCCCAGATGTTATGAAGCCCCAACAAGGCAAACAGTGGTTATGTCATGGCCTAATCTAGCTCTTGGCTTTAGAGATGAGGAGACTGAAGTCCAGAGGGCCTGGGAGCCACTCAAGGTTATGATTAGAGGGTAGCAGAGCCAGATCAGACTCTAAGCCTCCTGCCTCCAGCCCCTGTTCTCATACTCCCCTGCTGCCGTCTGTGCTGCCGGTCCACAGTGGACCTTCCGGCACGCATGCCCTGGTGTGGGTCCTGGAGCATGTCTGCTGGGCCTTCCCCAAAGCCGAGGTACCTGGTGCCCTCAATGTGCAGGTGGCCGCAGAGGTCAGTGAATGGGTCTGGGAGGTCAGCTAATCAGCCCCTCGAAGTGACCTGCGGTAGGGAACTTTGGTAGCACAACTCCTGGTTTCCTGCCTCAGTAGCCCTAAATCCCAGTTGTAGCCCATCTGTGCGCTAGCCAGATCTGCTCCGGGAGGGCAGTTTTAGAGCCAAGTCTAAGCCCCAAAGATAGGGTCAGTAATGGAAACAGTGACGGTCTCTGTACTTTGTGGTCAGGCCTGCTGCTCTGCCAGGGTGGAGCCTACCTCAACCCTAGGCCAGCCACAGGGCCCTCCCTGCCTACCCTGTGGTCATTGCAAGGTCAGCATCCAGGCCTGGTCCCACCACAGCCTGTGCTTGTCCTAGGCTGTGCTGCTGGCACTTCCTGCCCCAGCAGTGGCAGGCTCTAATCTGGGCAGTGCTCTGCCCTGCTTGGGTGTACAAAGGCCTGGCCACTGGGTGGGGTGCCTCCAGTCCGGAAGTGTTAAGCCTGGTGCCTGGACCACCCAACAAGAAAGTGTCCTAGTTCCTGAGAGCAGGGGTCTGATTCGGTCCTCTCTTCTCTTCTCTCCCCAGGTGGCTGGAGATGCTCATGGTCTATCCCAGGACCAACAAACAGAACCAGAAGAAGAAGCGGAAAGTCGAGCCACCCACGCCACAGGTAGGCAGTGGGTTTGCCAGGTGGTGTCCACTTCGTGGTTTCAGAGATGAGGAGCTGGGGCAAAGTGAGAGTACCCCAGAAGATTCAAGGGCTTCAGGACCCAGCCTAAAATTAGGGGTGAGGGAAGGATTCAGGTCAGGGCTGAGGTGGTCCTCAGCCCTGCACGTTGTCTCCATCCTTACAGTGGTCTGTGGGCTACAATCTGCATGCTCCTCTTCAAGCCACAGGGCAGGACCCACTACAGGGACAGGGTGGCCTGCTTGTGTGGTCTGGGGCTGCCCCAGGAGGCTTCCAGCCAGGGGGCAGGTGCTGAGGAGCAGTAGCAGAGCGTGTGTCTCTTCCCCTGGCTGTCCTTCCAGCTGCTGGGAAGCAAAGAGCATGCCAGGAGGGGTTGCTGGCTGCACAAACTCCTCATGCACCACAGTCCAAGGAAGGACTCAGCTCGGTTCCACTTTCTACACAGAGATGCTCTTGCAGAGAGCAGGCTGAGAAAGGGGAGCCAAGTGAAGGGCAATTCGGGGACCCCACTCTTGCTCTGGGGCCTTGACCATAAATGGAAAATATTGGTGCTGGTCTTGATTTGTGTGCACCTGCTCTGACTCCCATGTGACCAGAGTGGGAGGTGGCTGGGGTGGTGACACCAGGTCCAGTCCTTCCCCAAAGACCCCTCTCCTCTCCCTTCTCTTCCCCAGCCAGTGTCCAGGGGCTCAGGGCACCAGGAAAGGTTCTGAGCCTCAGTGAACTGATTTGCAAAATGGGCTTGTTTTGATCTAGTTATAGGATTATTTGTGAGCTTGAAAGGAGGTCTTGGGCCCAGTGTGGGTGCTCAGTAAATGTTATTCCTTTGCTCTGTACTCAGGCTTCACTGTTACCAAGTGTTCTTGCCTGATCGAGCCTCGCAGTAACCCTGAGAATGAGCAGAGTGGAGATTGGGGGTCCCTTGGGCATCTTGCAAGGCCCAGAGCCTGGCAGAGGTCCAGGCATAGCAGAACATGGCTACCCCCAGGGTTCAGCAGTCCTTCCTGGTGCTCTCTCCTTCACTGAGTGGCAGAGATCAGCCTGGGTGGAACTGGGTCCCCCTTCTCCTCTATGCCCCCCGGGTCTCCCCTGGATTTGCCTGCCCTGGGCTGCTGCACAAACCCTCCTACTAGTAGAGTGCAGCTCTGGGCCTGCTCTCAGCTGATGGTCATTGTCTGCCCTCTGTCTACCCTCCCCAAGGAGTCCTAGGCTAGCATCCTCTGGAAGGTAGTGTCCCTGGCAAAATCGAATGGGAGTTGTTTCTGGAGACTGAAAGTACAGCTTCCTGCTGGGGAACAGCAGACACACATGCAAATCCCCCAAACCTGGCTGGTTTGAGAGAAAAAAATCCCAGGCAGAATAACAGCATTTAGGGTTACACTGCGTTTCCATAGTAATACCTTGGAAATAGTGCCGTAGCAGACCTCCTGCCTCCAAATAAGGCAACTGCATGTGCAGGAGACACGTTCGGCCCAGACCAGGGAATTTGATGGTGTTCCTGCTCCCTAAGCCGTTCCCTCCCCTGTGACGTCCCTTCCCCCCAAATAATGCTGGCCTTGGCCAAGCTTCACCTTTTCTGTTGGTAGCAAGAGCCATGTGATCACAGGGTGGGAAGAGCCCCCACTTCCCTGAGGGTCTGTTAGAGCCCGGGGGGTCTGGGGTCCCAGCCTCTTCCACTCAGCCACTCCCGAGCCCCTGCAGAAGCCAACCTGGCAGTCTCTTTTCCTTTGCCCCTTGCTCCTCAGAGCATCACGTTGAGGCTGCTGGTTTCTGGAAGCTGTGAACTTTCATCAGGGCCACGCTGCTGTGAGTCAGTCTCATGGGGTGAGGTGGGGCCTTTCCAGAGGAGAGCTGCTGATCTCTGAGAAAGCCTCCCTTCCTCAGCCTGATGCCAGAGTCATTCTAGTGCACCAGAGGAAGCTGAGGGGGAAGCCTAAAGCCTTTGGGGCTCCTGTAAAGGCAAGAACCCAAGACCCCATACCTGGCCTCTGTCTCCATGGCCTGGGAGTTTCAGATCAAACCAATGGGGAGCTGCTACACCCCATTCCAGGCCAGAACCCTCCTTCTCATTGGGTTCCTGCTCAGTTTCTGTGCCCAGGAAGTAGAAAGAAAGGCTGTCGTTGAAACCCCTTCCAGAGAGGGGGCCTGCTTAGCACATGGAGGTCACGGAGGCGGCTTGGCCCAGGCCTGCCTTCCTACCCTATTTCCTCTTTCCTCTTGCTTTGAAAACCCTTTCTGAGTAGCCAGATAAATAGCACAGACTTCATTATAGCATTGACATCCCTGAGCAGTGCCGCTGTCCTGGCCACACAGGGACATAGAAAACCTGGTGCCTCCACTCCTTCCTTGTGCACAGGCACTCAGGGTCTCTGTCGGCATGAGCTCCAGCATCCCTCTCCGCCACAGTGGTGACAGTGTGTAGAGCGGTAGCAGTGCCATGTGGCCCTGGCCTGGCCTGTGAGGCATCTTACTTTCCACATACCTGCTTTGGAGAAGAGAAGCAACTTTCCCTAGAGACAAGGCTTCCTCCCATCACCCACCCAGCCCCTCTCCTGGAAGCCAGCATGGCTTTTCTGCTGCCAGACTGTCCTTCAGTCCCCACTGACTTGATCAGGCTTTGGCTGCTGTTCATGGCCCCCAATTCTCTGGGATGAGTCCTCCAGAAGCAGGGAATGTGGGGAGGGATCTGGGGACGCAGCCAGCCCTGCACAGGTCGGGAGGCCCTGGGTGTGGGAAATGCATGCATTTCCCTTGCATTTCAGGCCTGGAATTTCTTCTGCCTCTTGGAGACCCCGGCCAGCCCACCCTCTCCCAGGTCACCCCAAGCATCAGAGAGGGGTATGCATGTGCCATAAGCACTTCACCCACGGTGTGGAGCTGAGGGCACCAGCATCCAGGGCCACTTCTCTCACAGGCACAGCTGCCTACCCTCAGTCCAACCTCCCCTCCACAGAGGGGTCCTATTCACATAGTGTCCCAGGTATCCAAAAAGGGGAGGGTGGGTGAGGCCAAGGGTTGGCCTCAGCTTGGGTGCAGCACGAACAGATGCTTTGCATTTACTCCAGGGGGGCACATCTCAATGGTGTGTTCTTTCCTCACCGCTTGTCATCCTTCCTTGTTTGTATCCTAAGCACTTGGAAGTCTAGGAATGACAGACTCTAGGCCAACCACTTGTGGTCTTGCCTTTAACGCCTGGTTTGCTGCTCTGGGCTCTGTTTGATTTTTTGGGTGAGGAGAACTTGCATGTGTCTGTGTTGGGGCTCTGAGCAGAAACCCCAAGCCTCTGCTCCATGCATTTGCCAAACCTGGCCTGTGGCAAGTGAGTCCAAGCACTTCAGGGCTGCAGAGGAGAAAAGGCCACAGTACTATCCAGGAGCTTCCACCCTGACCAGGACACCCTGACCAGGACTAGAGCCTTCTCTTCTGCAGATTCTGAGCCCCTAACTCTATGAAGTTCACCTTGGTATCCCCCATAGCTAGGTATCCAGGCACCCAGGACCTGTGCGCCAGCTTGGGCTGTGTGCCCCTGTGCCCACACAGACACTGCTGTCTCCCCCAGGAGCCAGGGCCAGCCAAGATGGCTGTCACCAGCAGCAGCAGCAGCATCCCCAGTGCTGAGAAAGTCCCCACCACCAAGTCTACACTCTGGCAGGAAGAAATGAGGGCCAAGGACCAGCCAGATGGGAGCAGCTTGAGTCCAGCTCAGAGTCCCAGCCAGAGCCAGCCTCCTCCTGCCAGTGCCCTGAGGGAACCTGGGCTGGAGAGCAAAGATGGTAAGTGGTGCCCTCCTGTCCTGGTGCCCCACTTTGCAGTGCTGGAACAGGCTTACATCCCAACAGAGCTGGCACTGGGGACTCAGGGGCCTGCAGAGTCCAGTCATGAGCCCTGAGCCTCAGACTCCCTTGCCTTCTGTGTCCATCAGCCTCGGGCAGGGCCTGGCATAATGTGGGACTGGGATCCCTGGCCTTGCCCCTCTAGCTCTTAAGTCCCATCTGTAAAGGAGTAGCACCTGCTCTGCCAGCCCCAAGTAGGTGTTGTGAGAATCAAAACACTCAGTAACAAGGTCTGTGTACAAGGAGGCCTCTCATGTTCATGGCCTAGTTAACACTGGAAGCCCACTGTGTCCTGAGAGAGCAGCAGGAGTTAGGGCAGTCACGTCCTCTGTCCCATCCTGCCCAGGCCCTTGGGGGAGGTGGGGAAGAGGGTGCTGGGGCAGGAACGACCGGCAGCCCCGAGCTTTCTCCACTTAGCACTTGGAAGCTGCCTGAGCACAAGTGGGACAGCCGGCCCTGACTCCCCTGTCTAAGCACTGAGGGCTCCGCAGGACACAGCTTGGCTTTTCCCCTGTGTATTTTGTCCAGGTCATTAAAGATGAGGGGGCAATTGGGACTGGCCCAGCTCATTCAGGCCAAAATGCATTTGTACCAGCTCTGGGCAGAAAGTGCTTCAGTCTCCTTTGGTAGCATCTGCCCATCCACATCTGAAATCCATTCACTCCTCTCATTTCTGCACAAGTCCTCTGCCCCTTCCCTCCCCAAAAATGTACTGAAAGACTAAACAGCTCGCTGGCCATTGGTTTCCTCCTTGATGTCCAGTAAGAAGTGGTTGTGGCACATCTCTTCTCACGGGACCTGCTCTCCCAGCTGAGCCCCCAGATTAGAAGCTCAGGGGCTCCCTGACAGTCTGGCAGAGAGGCAACCAGGTTAGGGGAGTGATGGGTGAGGCACAAGTGTGGGAAGGAGGTTTCACTCCCATCACGTGGTTCTGCCCTTGTCAAGCCATGTCAGCCTTTGGAGATGGAAGGTGGAGACGTGGTCCTGTTTGGATTTGCATGGACTTTTTTGTTTTTGTTTGTTTTTGGTAAGGAAGATTGGCCCTAAGCTAACATCTGTTGCCAGTCTTCCTCTTTCTGTTTTTCCTTCTTCTCCCCAAAGCCCCAGTACATAATTGTATATCCTAGTTGTAGGTCCTTCTAGTTCTGCTGTATGAGACGCCACCTGAGCATGTCCTGACAAGTGGTGATAGGTCCATGCCCAAAATCCAAACCAACGAATCTCGAGCCACCAAAGTGGACGTGTGAACTTAACCACTCAGCCACAGGGCTGGCCCCTGCATGGGCTTTTTAAAAAATCCCCAGAAATGGAAGATAGCAGCAGGCTGAGTGTGTCTCCTGCCTCCCCCTTCTCTCTTCCAGAGGAGGGCGCCATGAGCAGTGACCGCATGGACTGTGGCCGCAAAGTCCGGGTGGAGAGCGGCTATTTCTCCCTGGAGAAGACCAAACAGGATTTGAAGGCCGAGGAGCAGCAGCTGCCCCCGCCGCTCTCCCCTCCCAGCCCCAGCACCCCCAACAACAGGTATAGTGGCCCTGGACCGCCCTCCCAGGAGCTTGGTCATCCCTTTCCTTCCTCAGGTCCTCGACGCCCCAGCCGAATGGTCTGCAGCAGCTCCCTTGGCTCCCTGGATGCAGCCAGCCAGCCCCCTGCCCACATGGACTCTGGCAGCGCTGGGGGGCAGGGGGCAGAGAGACTGGGGCGCACTTTTGCCTTTAAAGCCAGCAGGCAGTATGCCGCCCTGGCCGACGTCCCTAAGGCCATCAGGATCAGCCACCGAGAAGCCTTCCAGGTGGAGAGAAGGCGGCTGGAGCGTAGGACTCGGGCCCGGAGCCCTGGCAGGGAAGAGGTGGCCCGTCTGTTTGGCAACGAGCGGAGGTAAGGAGGGGGTTAGAGGGCTGAACGCTCGCACCTACGTACACAAACACACAGGCTCCCCTCACCCTTACACACAGTCTCTCCTGCGTGTACTCCACTTTCTCTTACACATGTACTCACATGTACACTCACTCATGTAGTCTGTGACTCTTACACACTATCTTCTCACATACACTCTCTTACACACACATTCTCTCTTCCCCTCCCCTCTACACACACAGACACACACCCAAACACGTTCCTAAGCCTTCCTTAAGGGAGCACGCTTGTTCTCCCTTTCTGTTCAGAGCAAGTAGGGAACCTTTCCTTCTGGATCCTGGACTCAGGTCCCACAACTCAGCCCCTGGTAGCCAGAATGTAGGATCTCTGGGCACCCAGAGGCCTAGGCCAGGACCTGCTGCTTCCTATAAGTGCCTCCTGACACTGGGACCTTAAGGGCCCCTGGGTGGGGTTCTTAGCCACCTGGGCCTTGTGTGGTTCAATCTTTTCCTTCCGGGCCCATTTCTGTTCTCTGAGATAACCGTGGAGGCAGGAAGATCCCGGAGATGCTGATGGTGGCAAAAGTTCTCCGTACCCTTACAGTCTCGGGTGCAGGTGACCGGCATCGAAGGAGATGCGGGGGAAGATAGTACTGCCCAGGGAGGCAGGGTGGGCAGCACAGCTTCCTCCCTCGAGCACTCACTCCCACAGGAAGCCACAGGAAAGTCGAGGCAGCCTGTGAAGCTGCCAAGGGCTTGACAGCATCAGTTGTCATCCAGGCTTGGGTGAAATGTGAAATGGGAGGCCAAGTAGAGCCACGGCATCCTGGGGGAGAGATGGGGTTTGGAGATGAGCCCAGGGAGGGGCTAGCGGCTTGGGCAGAGACATGGAACTCGACTGCTACCTGAGGAGAGCAGGGCTCTGCCCTTTCTTTCTCTCATTCCACTGGCCCTGCACGTCTTGGAGAACTGAGGAAAGAGCTTGGTTCTTTCTCTGAGGCTTCCAAGCCTAGGCCTGGACCAAAGCACCTGAGTACCCCCTCCGATAGGAGCTTCCACCCCTGAGTCTGTAAACAGAGCCTTTGCTCCAACAACAGCGTTCTCACCCAGGTCCACAGGTAGGCTGCTAGAGGTCCGTGAGCCCTCAAAATGATTCGAGCATCTGTATGTACATTTTTCTGGGAAAAGAAAATCCATAGTTTTCATTAGATTCCCAAAGAAGTTCACTTTCCATAAAAGAGGATCAGACGTAAGTTCCAGAAGTATTCATAGAGGGTCCTCCCACCTACCAAAGCCTGGGTAAAGCTCAGAGTTGGGGCATGCCATGGGGACGGCCCGCGTGGCCACGGGCTCCCCCTAGAGAGGCTGGCTGGGAGCAGAGCACCTTTCTCTCCTGTTCCCCTTTCTTCTTAACACCTACCCCTCTCCCAAATGTCCCAGGTGGAAAGGACCTATGGATCTGTGGATCAACCTCTAGAATAAGGAAAAGACGCCCAGAATTTTTGGTCTTGAAAAGAGAAGAAAATAGAACCTGCCTAATTCCTAGGGAGAGCGAGAGGGAAGGTGACCTGGGAGGTGCCCACCAAGCACATGGCTGTCTTCCCTTTTCACTAGTGACCCAGAGAGGTGCCTATGCCACCATTTAGATGCAGAGACAGGGCTCACAGAGACAGCCCGGTGCAGCAGAGCTGGGACGCACATCCCAGCTGGGCCTTTAACTGAGAAGGCCGTGCTCCCATGACGTGACCCAGGACTGGGCCAAGGCTGTCCTTTAAGCAGTTCAGTCAATATAAAAGTAAAGGGACTTGCCAGAGGTTTAGGAGGCCGCTGGGCTGGGGCAGAGGAGGCTTTGCACTGGCCGGTGATCAGGCTGTGTGTCCTGGAGGCTCATGAGTGGACAGCCCTGCCCTGGTTTAGTAGCAGACCAAAGAATTAACATTCAGCACACCTGCTTGGCTTTGACCCTCTTCTCGTCTAGTGCCTGGGGTAGGCGGCATCTCTGGGGCTTTGCTTTCCGCATGTTCTTTGCCACTGTGGAGACGGGTTTTCACCTGGTGTTGGCATCCTGGGGCCCACCAGTTCTGCATTCTAACACTGTAACGTCACTTTCTTACTGACCCTGATGACATCTGACTGGCTGCTGTCACTTTCTGAGGCCTAAGTAGCCTGCCCTGTACTTGATTGGATTCCTGTGCCCTGGGTGAGAACAGAACCCCAGATTGGCAGGACGTTGGCCACAGTTACCCAGAGTGGTGGCTGAGCCAGGCCTGCCCAGGAGCCAGGCTGGGGGACGATGGGCATTGGTTTCCTGACAAGCCGTGGCCCTGAAGCTGTCCTGTGTGAGCTCATCAGCTCCACTCTTCAGACTTGTCCCAGAGCCTTGAAAACATTTCTTGGGTGGTGAGTTGCTGCCCAGTGAGCGTGAGGAGGCTGTGGCCCTTGTTGAACTGTTGGTGACTGGCACCGGGGCCAGCTCCTATGTGGTCCTACCTTTCCCCTCGGTTGGGAGCTGGAGAGGTTGAGGCAGAGCAGAGGTGCGGCGCCTCCTTTCTGTGCCGTCAGCCAGCCCCGAGAGACCTTTGCTGTCATGCCTATAGTATTTAAAGGAAACCATGTTAAAAACTTCCTAGTTTGCAAGGTAATCCTGGCTGACCTCACCAGAGCCCCTGTATGTAGAGAGGCTGCAGCAGGTACCACTTTCTCTTCTCTTGTCTGACTCCTCTCTCTGCAGCCCTGGCAGGCCTGCAGCATGCACCTCGCATGTGACTCAGCCGGGCACTGTTCCTCACAGGCGCCTTGGGGCTTTTTAGGCCGTGGGGTCAGTTGGAGGGGCTCTTGTTCCCCAAGTGGCGGCACTGAGGCCTCTCAGTGGGCCTGGAATCTTATTTAAATCCCACAGAGATGGTCAAGCACGGGGGATGCCTCACACCTGACCAGGCTGAGCACTTGCAAGAGCTTCCTGTGGTTCCCGGGAACTCCTGCCCTGCCTTAACTTCCTGCGCTCTCAATGCTCGGCCTCCTGCTGCCTCCCTCAGCCGCCCCCTCACTGCTGGTTCTGGCAGGCTGGCCTGGGAACAAGCTCTGGTCCTGGGGGAGACTCCGCAGGAGCACAGGACACTAGAGCAGCCACACTTTGTGTGGGAGCACAGGGAGAAGCAGAGAGCCAGGTGCCCCAAGACTTCCGCTCTTGGTATTAAGCTTTGCTTGATGAAGAAGCCCTAAAATTTCCATTTTTACTGGTAACCCTCCCTGAGAAAAAGCTGGCCTCTTGGGGGGATCTCAGGAGTTGAGTCCATTTCCTCTTTCCTTCCTTATAGAGTTGGATTTTAGTCTTCTGGGTTCAGAGGCCCTTCACTTTCTTCCCCTTGACTCTCCACTTGTCCAGGATGCAAGTAAAACCCTCCCCGTGAAGTGGCCTCAGAGTGCTTGCCTGGCTGTCCCTGGGAAGACAGGCCCCTGGCCCAGGATGTTTCAGTGTCCACGTCCCAGGCCCCGAGAGTGGGCAGCCCACATGGGCGAGGACCAGGCCTCAGCCAGCCTGCCCCGCACAGCCTCCCTGCCCATGCCCATGTGGCTGCACCTCGTGACTCAGGGGCAAGGATGGTCTGTCCTCCACAGTGATCACCTCGGGTTTTTGTTTCTTTAATTCTTTGGATAATTTTGATTTACCATTATTTGATTTTAAAATCAGTCCTTTTCTGTTTATTCATTTTCCAGCCTTATTTTCTTTCAGGTCTTGCCCCTCTCCACCTTCTCCTGCTGTGTCGCTGTGTGACGTTACTCGCCCTTCCTCCGCCTGCTTCGCTCCCATCTCAGCTCCGTCTCCAGCCGTAGATGGCCTGACGATGCTGCCGGCCCTTTCACACGAAATCAACTTGCTTTGTTTTTGTTTTAATTTGGTTTTTGATTTTTTTTTTTTTTTTTACTGTTGGCAGAAACAATGTTAATTCATGGGCCTTTTTCTTGCTAAATTTTGGGTGTCCTGGGTGGGGTTGTACCATGATCTGCTGAGGAATGCAACGAGGATGGAGGCCGGCCCCTCCAAGGTGGTGGTTGCCTTCTGATCATGTCTGTGGCTCAGGAGATGATGCTGGGTGATGAGCTGTGTGATTGCTGAGTGTGTCAGCACGACAGACTGAGCAGGGGCCTCCAGTGTGGGGGCAGAGGGCAAGGGCAGGCCTGGCAGAAGGGAAGGCCCTTGCCCATGAGGTGCTGCCAGTCCCTGCACAACTCTTGCCTCCACGGCGGTGGGAGAGGGAGCCTGGGGAGGGGTCTCAGAGGTGAACTGGCCCCATGTCCTGTGTGCACAGCCTCCCTGCCCTGCGGAAGGGGAGGCCCAGGGAAGGCTGGGATGTTGGGGGTGTTGGCTAAAGCAGCTCCTCTGTGACTTGAAACCAAACCCAACTCGGGCTGTGGGGGGACCCTATCTTCCCCTCAGCAGCCTCGTGTCCTCTCTTGCAGGAGGTCCCAGGTGATTGAGAAATTTGAGGCCTTGGACATTGAGAAGGCAGAGCACATGGAGACCACCTCGTCGGCCGCACCCTCGCCATCAAGCGATACTCGCCAGGGCCGCAGCGAGAAGAGGGCGTTCCCCAGGAAGCGGGTGAGCATCTTGGTTACAGGGCCAGCCCTGAGGCCTGAGTGATGCCTTGTGGGGCCAGCTAGGGCACAGTCCACACAGGCCCCACACCCCCTCCAATGTACCCCAACACACACCTGGACACACTTCTGCTGGGCTTCCTGCTCTCGTGTTGTAGTTGTTTGCTCGTGTCTCTCATCTCCTTCTCCAGTTAGTGAACTTCTTGAGGGCAAGGCCTGTCTTCTGCATCTTCCTATCTGAACTTCATCCGTCTCTGCTGAGGCTGTTCTAACCAGCTTTAGATCCTGCGTCCTAACTAGAGCTGCTCTCTTTCTCTCTGAGGTAGCCTGGCCACAAGGCTGAACACTTTCTTTCCTCTTTCTTTTGAGTGACAGCCATAGCCCTTGTTTCTCTACTCAGTCCACAAGGTAGATTTCGCTTCTGAAACCCTCCTTCTCCCAGGCAGCCCTTTCAACTCTTATGGCCCTGCTTCTCTCTGGGCTCCTGAGGTTCCCTGCCCCTTGCTGCTGCAGAACCCAGGGATCTTCCTTCTGTGACCCCTAGAAGCTAGGGGGTAGGGGTGGGACCAGGAGAGTGATGGTGATTGGTGCATCTGAAAGAAAAGGCATTTCAGAACCCGCTGCGTGAAGCGGAAGGCACTGTATGAGGAATCCTGGGGTATAGGCTCCTTGCCCTGCTCTGGCGCAGACTTGCCACAGGAGCCCAAACAAAGCACTCCCCTCCGCCTGGGAACAAGGCCCTGTAGTCCTGACCCTTGCACAGTTCTGGCTGCTGGTCTCCCTGCTCCTTGCCCGAGTTGACTGGCTTGTACTGACTGGCGGCTGCTCTCTGCCACAGGACCTCCCCAGTGAAGCCCCCACAGCTCCTCTCCCGGACACCTCGGCCTCCCCCCTGTCTCCACACCGAAGAGCCAAGTCACTGGACAGGAGGTCCACGGAGTCCTCCCTGACGGTGAGCCCAGGCGCCCGCGTACCGAGGCCCAGAGACACTGCTCCTGTTGCTTCTGTCACTTGGGGTCATTGCTTCTGTCTCTGCATCTGCACCGACTGTCCCCTCTGTGCACCAGCCCTTGTGTCTGTGCCTGGTAAACAGACACTTTGTTTCTTTCCCTCTTCTGGGCTATATGAGCATCCTGAGCTCTGAGGCTCCCGGTAGAGGAGGCCACCTGGACAAGGCAGCAGAATCCTGATTCCAGGGGATCAGGGCCACAGCAAGGAACCTCTCTTATTCTTGTTTTGGATGTTTGTTTCTGTGACATTTTGGAGGCAGGAATCCGCTCTTGCTGGGAGTGCTTGTCCTATTCATGCAGAGGGTTTCACTGCAGAGGGCAAGAGGCCTTTGCTGGAAGTTGTTTAAGCTGCAGCAGTGGGGTGCATGTAGGGAGTGGTCAGGTGGAGTCTAGGCAGGGTATCACTCCCCTGGGGAGCTGAGAGTGGCAGACCAGAGGCCCTAGGAGTGAAAGACAGCTGCTCGTATAGCGACCTGGAGGTTTACCTGCAGCTCCTCCCTGCTTTGTCCTCAGCCTTCTGAGGAGCCCAGGCTTTGTGCCACCTCTCCCCCTGGGGTGTGGGGCCACCAGCCAGATTGACATGAACCTGTGGAGCAAGGATGCTCCCAGAGCAGAGGCTCCCAGAACACATGTTGCTGGTCGTTGTCCTGCCTCTTCACTTTGCACTGTTCTAACTCCCTCTCAGTCCTTCAAATACAAAAAGACATCACAGCGTATGTCTGGGCAAGGTGGCTTTAGAAAAACAGGGAGCACGTGAGGCAAGGGGAAGGATGAGGCACATCTCTTTGGGTACTGGTCTTTACAGGTGCAAGATGTGGCACACAAGCAAGGCCCGGGTGGCTGCAGGCGGTCCTAAAGGTGCTCTCTCAGGCTGTTCCTCGGCCCGGGTGCACAGGTGCAGGAGGGCGCAGCAGGGACAGCACCCCAAGCAGGGCCTGCTGTCAGGCCTGTGCACCCTGCTTTTCTGTCTGCTCTGCTGGTTTTGCATCTGGTAGGGAAATGGAGGCTACAGTTCATCCTGATAGATAAGTGGCCTGAGGGTCTTGACAGGGTTGCTACTGTGTCTTGCTCAGTACAGTCATGGCCTCTGCTCCTCAGTCTTTCTCTCTCAGTCTTCTGTGGCCTCTGCGAGAACTTCAGAATTCTCCTTTCAGCCATCACGGCAGATCTTCCCCTTCATGTAAAACGCTGAGTGACTGTCTGGGCCACTCTCCTCTGCCTCCCAGGTGGCCCCTGCTGATGTAGCAGGGGCTTCTCTCAGAGCAACTGGGCAGCCCCTCTGCTGCTGCTCCCAGGGCGATGAAGCCATGCCCTGCCCTTCCCATCAGCCTGCTGAGCCCGCCATCTCCTTCCTCGAAACACATGTACCTGTGGAGTGGCTTCAGGCAGCACCCACTCGGATGAGGCGGCCATGCAGGCTTGTCTACAGGTGGAGAAACTCTTTTCCTGGTGCCCACTTCATCTGGACAGACGAGCTGCCCATCGGTCACCTTTTGCCTCTGCCTGAGATACCATAGTCCTTTCCTCCGAACTTATTTTGTTCTCCCTTTCTTAGCCTGACCTGCTGAATTTCAAGAAAGGCTGGCTGACCAAGCAGTACGAGGACGGCCAGGTGAGCGTGTAGAGCTGCTGTGGCCCCTGAGGGGCCAGGGAGCAGGTGCAAGGTCCACCTGGCCTTGTCCCCGGTGGGCAATGAACACTAGCTCCGTCCCCCACTTCCAGCATGCCCCCTTGTCTCGTGGACCAGGACTGTGGCCCAGATCCCCATCTCCTCAGACAAGTGGAGACGTGCACCCTCTCTGCACCCCTGGTTCTGTAGAGGTGGGTGGGGCCTCTGGAGAGGCACCAGCCAGGCCTGCTTGCTGCCAGTCTGATAGATGGCTCTCCTGTACCCAGCAGGGATCTCAGCCTCAGGCCACGGGCCTGCCCTACAAAACCAGCTTCCTACCTGGTGATCTTTCCTAAAGGCTCCTTGAGAGTACAGGCTTCCTGGGGACAGGGAAAACCTCTGGTTGTGGGATTGGCTGTGTTTGCAGACAAGGCAGCCAAGTAGACAGCAGCCGAGGGCTGCAAGGCTCTGTTGGAGACACCATCTCAGCTGCAGTCCTGAGAGGGGCCAGTGTGATACATTCTTGCCATCAGACTCAAGCAAGAAGAGCCACTTGCAGCTGGACCAGCCAGTCCTCCAAGGAGGCGTGATGAGGAGCCCGCTGGGTCCAACTGAGAGGCCCCTGAACCCCGTCCATCTGAATTCCCCTTCCTGCTTCCTGAGCAACTGTGCCAAAACGTCCTCTTTTTCTCTCTTCTCCATATCAATCCCCTTGGCCCTGCCTGAAGACTCAAGTCTCCCTCCTTGCTACTCACAGTGAAGACTTGGGCATCTGGCTGGTTGGTGTGCTCCTGCTGGCTGCAGGTGGGCGCGCCCCTCTGGTTAGCCGGCCAGTGGCTGTGGCCTGCAGGCAGCCACCTTAGGACGGAGATGCGTTTTCACAGCCACCTTTAGCTCTGAGGGCCCAGCCCCGGGTCTGCAGCCTCTGGAGCTGAGACTGAGGACTGCGAAGTGCTGCTCACCAGCCACACCCCTCTGGGTTACAGAGAGCCCACAGCCCCGCGGCCCAGCCCAGCTCTCCATGCTGCCTTGTCACTGGGGAGCCGCGGCTTAGCAAGCGCCCTGAGGTCATGTGCGCATGGTTGCCTGCGGCCTGAGCGGAGTCCTGTGTGTCTGCCACTCGCGGGAGGGGCCGCCTGCCCTCTGCTTTACCTGTGCTCTGGGAGGTGTCCCCAGGACTCTGGCTGTGGATCGCCTTGAAGTAGTGTGCTGCATGGTAGTTGAGTCTTGTTTTTCCCTTCCCTTTCAGTGGAAGAAGCACTGGTTTGTCCTTGCTGATCAAAGCCTGAGATACTACAGGGATTCAGTGGCTGAGGAGGTGAGTGTCTTGGGTTAGCTCTTGTTGTGTAGACAGCTAAAGGGGTCCAGGTGGCACCCAGGGCCAGAGGTTCCCAGTGCCACTACTCCTGGGCTGAGGTCCGCTTCCGTCTGTTGACGGTGTCTGCACTGCCATCTTGGGTTTCTGGTCCAGATCTGGTGGGCAGTTGAGCACAGTAGGACCAGCTTGACGCTCTCGTGACTGGTTTCTCCCTGGAATGCTGGTTCTCTCCAGGCCCTGCTTTACGCAGCTGGGTGCAGTGGGTTTCAGCGGTCTTTCTTTTCTCTGTTCTTTGAAAAACACTGAAGATGTCTTATTTTAAAACTCAAGGTGAGCAGTTTTGGTTTTTCTACAACGAGATTTGTGATGAACTGAGTCTTTCGAAGAACTAAACCAAATCTTGTCCCTTGACTTCTGGACAAGGATGGGATGTGGCAGATGAACTTGGTTGGCCCAGTTGACTCTGTGGTTAAAGACCAAGCAGAAGTGGCTCTTTTTTCTTCACTAAGAAAGTGGCCGAGTGGTTAAGTTTGCGCGCTCTGCTTCGGTGGCTCAGGGTTTCGCCAGTTCGGATCCTAAGCACGGACATGGCACCACTCATCAAGCCGTGCTCTGGCGGGTGTCCCACATGCCACAACTAGAAGGACCCACAACTAAAAATACACAACTATGTACCAGGGGGCTTTGGGAGAAAAAAGGAAAAATAAAATCTTAAAACAAAACAAAACAAAACACCTCTTCTGAGCAATTTGGCAAGTCTACTTTCCTCCCTTTTCCCTTGCATTCCAGCCCAGGATATATCCTCCAGATAGACTCCCACATAGATGAAAAGTGCTCTGTCCCGGGTTAGTCATTCCTGCACTTTTGTAATAGCAGGAAGTTGGAGAGAACCTAAATATCTGTCATTAGGGGGCTGCTTATATATATTTATATACCCTGTATGTAAAAAAAAAACTAAGTTCCATGTGGCCTGCAGTGGAAAGGCACTAGTGACACAAGGTAGATGTAGGCCCGTGTGGGTGGCGGGCCTCTGGTGGTGCCTAAAATGGCGGGATATAGGAGCTTCTGTAAGGGTGTGGTTGTGTGTACATGGACCAGCAGTTCTGAGTGGGGTCTGTGGACCCCTGGAGACCCTTTCAGGGGGGCTGGCATACTTAAAGTTATTGTTGTAACACTAAGATGCCATTGATGTTTTTCATTGTGTCGACATTTGCACTGGTGGCAGAAGCTCGATGGTAGGCGAAACCGCTGGTGCCTTAGCCGGTCAGGCCACAGCCACAAACAGCCAGCAGCCACCTTCTCCATGCCACATACTCACAGTGTTAAAGAGAGGGCCTTAATGGAATAGTAAAAGTTAATAATTTTATTATGTCTCAATCCTTGAATAGCCATCCTTTTAATATTCTGTGATTTGAAATGGGAAGTAAGTACAAGTCACTTTTGCCACGTACCAAACAATGGTGGCTGTCTCATGGGAACACACTTGGGCTCCAGTATGTGCTGCCAACTGAACTGGTGGCTTCTCCTCGTGGAAGACTATCTCTTCTCGAAAGAACACTGACAGACAAACTGCTCGTTCAGTTCAGTTTTGATGTTTGGCAGATATTTTCTTTTTTTTTGGTGAGGAAGATTCGCTCTCAGTGAACATATGTTGCCACTCTTCTTCTTTTTTTTTTTTTGCCTGAGGAAGATTAGCCATGAGCTAACATCTGTGCCAGTCTTCTTCCACTTTGTATGTGGGACGCCACCACAGCATGGCTTGATGAACAGTGTGTGTGTCTGCGCCTGGGATCAGAACCCGCAGACCCAGGCCACCAAAGCGGAGCGCGTGGAACTTTAACCACTTAGCCACAGGGCCGGCCCCATGGCAGACATTTTCTTGAAAATGAACCAAGTGAGTCCATTCCTTTAAGGAAAACAACTGACAGAATTTGTTGCCAATGATACAGTTTGAGCTTTCAAGCAAAATTGAAACTTTGGAAAACTTGTATTCACCATTATGAACTTGACAGCTTCTCTTTACTTACAGACCCTCCTGATGAAATAGGTGGCGATAGTAACAAATGCAGTGTTTGATCTTGTATAATGATATGTGTCAACATTTGGAAGATATGCATAACTCATTGTCTTCCAAATGACGACACACAGTGTTAACAGAGTCGTGCATGGGTCAGAGATCTATTCAAGGGCAGGATAAACCGTGGATTTCAATATAGCAGAGTACAGAAAGTTCCTTGATAGGATTTCAGATTCCACTTTGCAGTTAACCTTTAAGAAACTACCAGCTGTCAAAGAAGAACAGTCACGGTTATCTGAAAAGACTTAAAATACGTCTCTGTTTTCCAATTCCCTGTCTGTGTAAGGCCAGACTGTCTTCATATACTTCACCCAAAACAGTACACCGAACCGATCGAATGCAGAAATACGTGAGAATCCAGCTGTCCTCAGAAGCCAGGCATTGAAGAGATTTGCAAAAGTCTCTTGCTGATTTTTCTAAAGTTTTTTTTTTTCCTTTTTTTCCCCAAAGCCCCTGGTACGTAGTGGTATATTTTTAGTTCTGGGTCCTTCTAGTTGTGGCATGTGGGATGCCACATCAGCATGGCTTGATGAGGGGTTCACGCCCAGGATCTGAACTGGCGAAACCCTTGGTTGCCGCAGCATAGCACATGAACTTAACCACTCGGCCATGGGCCAGCCCCTGATTTTTTTAAATAATAATTTTTATTAAAAAATGAGGGACCGACCTGGTGGTGCAGTGGTTAAGTGCACATGTTCCGCTTCGGCGGCCTGGGGTTTGCCAGTTCAGATCCCAGGTGCAGACATGGCACCACTCATCAAGCCATGCTGTGGCAGGCGTCCCACATATTAAAAAGGTAAAGGAACATGGGCACGGATGTTAGCTCAGGGCTGATCTTCCTCTAAAATAAAATAAAATAAAAAAATAAATAACAAATGAATTGGGTTTATTTGTGTTCTTAAATGAGTAAATCTGTTTACTTTTTTCTTCAATTAATTTCTAATGTGGTAAATATCATCAATAGATAAGACCCACATAAACAAAAACTCTTGTCCTCAGTTTTTAAGAACATAAAGGAGTTCTGGGGCCAGTGCAGTGGCGTAATGGTTAAGTTAGCGCACTCTGCTTCAGTGGCCCAGGGTTTGCAGGTTCAGATCCTGGGCGCAGACCTACACACCATTCATCAAGCCATGCTGTGGCAGTGTCGCATATACAAAATAGAGGAAGATGGGCACAGATGTTAGCTCAGGGCCCATCTTCCTCACACATACACACACACACACTGCATAAAGGAGTTCCGACATCAGCACAATGGGGAACCACTCCCTGGGCTGTCTTTGGCAGGATGCGTGGGAAATAGCAGGTTGATGATTCCAGGTGGTGTAGGGTAGATATTATCCTTGCTTGTGAGCGTAGATGCCCGTTAAAAATAATGCTAGCGTGGAAATTTGCTCATCTAGGCATTGACTTTTGCTTTCTAAATCTCTTAAGATCCTCTCATTTCTCTCCATAGGCAGCTGACTTGGACGGGGAAATAGACTTGTCTACGTGTTACGATGTCACAGAGTATCCAGTCCAGAGAAACTATGGCTTTCAGATACATGTGAGCCTGGGGTGGAATTTGGAGACAGGCTTGGTGTAGAGGTGGGGGATACCGGCTTGATCAGACAGGACATTTCTCCAAGAACCTGATGTCCTGGTCCAGGGACACTTGTGGGCAGGCCTTGGTCAGCACAGGCTCTTTTCCATCAGGGTTAGCACTTTATCCTGTCCCTTTCTCTGTCCTATAGCACCTGGACTCCCACCCCCACTTTGTGATCTGAACAAAAAATTAGACGTTAGTGACTTTCTTCTCAAGACTATTTAGAAGCTTTTTGTTACTGAAGGTTCTTTTCTTTTTCTTCCTTTCTTTTTAAATGCTGGAGTTTGGGACAGTTGGAAGGATGTGGGGCATGGGGAATAAGAATGAAAGTGTTAATCACCTAAATGTAACTTATTCTTTTGTATACTCATTCGTTCATCTACTCACAAGTATTTTTTTCCCCCACAATCTTGTGAGGGACTCACACAGTCAAGGCATTGCCTCTGCCCTTAAAAAAGTAATCTAATTGGACAAATAAAATGGTTCTTATGGGCCATTTCCTCTAAGCCAGTGACTCAAGGGCTACCTAGAGGCAGCCAGGCTTGAGGTTAGGGCACTAACCTGCCCCATCTGCCCACATTCTGGCACCAGCTGCACGTTCAAGAGGTGCTCAGAACCACTTTCAGATTCAAGGATTAGCCAGAATAGTCCACAATGTGCCCACAATGACAGTTTTACTGTAGCAGAAGGATGCAGATCAGAACCAGCCAGAGGAAGAAGCACAAGGAGAGTGGGACTGGGAAAGCCCTAAACACCAAGCTGCCCTGTCCTTGGGGACGCATCACCCTCTCGGCATTGATGTGTGGCAACACACACAGCTTCCACCCAGGAAGCTTGCCCAGGCCTCGCTGTCCACAGTTTGTATGGAGGCTTCTTAACTGTTGCCATTGAGCTATTGCCCGCACGGTCGAACAGTCTCCAGCCCTCCCCACAGAGGTCAGTGGATTTCTCGTGGCCCAAAGCCCTAGCCCTCTCGCTTCATGGCTGGTCTTTCTGGCGTGGCCAGCCCTCGCTCTGAATAACAAGGATTCAGAGGTTATTTCCCAGGAGCTGGGACAAAGACCAGACCTCGCTTTGGGCAAAGCTGATTATTCCTGCACAAGAGCCTTAGGAAAGCACGAGAGGTAGCAAATAGCCTGGCGGAGCTGCCACCACAGGGGCTGGCCCTTGGGACTTGGTTTCTCACAGGGAGCGGCTAGAACTCCAGCAGGGTCACCTTTAACAAGGTCTTATCTTCAGACCTTCGGGCCCAGAGAATCGATTTTATCCCTGCACTCAGAGTAGATCAGGCACATTGGGACTGACTCGTATTAACCAAACTTAGAGGAGACTGAGGTTCAGACCCGAAGGCCAGTGAGTTCATTGTAAGGAGGCATCCAGCTGTCAGCCCGCCTGCCTGTGGTCATGGCATCCCCTCCACGTGGGGCGTCTGTGTGGGGCACCGGGTCACAGCCAGAGGTTGCACCAGAGGCCTGGTGCCGGGGCGTGAGGTGGTGAGTCCTGGTGGCCTGTGGTGCTCTTCTGCCCTCATCCCTGTGGAGGAATTAATGTGCTCAGTGAGCTAGACCCTGAGCCTCCTCTCCTCAGACAGCACTGAGACAGTGATGAGTTCCAGCTTCCTGGGCCCCATGCAGAGTCCCCACCCCGACCTCCCCACCTTCAAGAGCAGGTTTCTCTGGGCAGGGCCTCCCGGGGTGAGAGATGGCTGACCACTCAGTGAGCCCCCGTCACTAAGCAGATCACAACTGAATTGTTCTCAGGTCACTCTCTGTGGTGGGCACAGCCTGAACCACACAGGGGCCAGTTTACTCACCTGCTCTCTTTGTCATGGAGAGAGCATGTCCGAGTCCCCTGCACTCCCTGGCTGATCACACCGGCAGGCTGAGCCCTCGTCACTTTTCCCTGGGGTGGGTGCAGTGAGCCTAGCCCAAGTGCTGGTGCCTTCCATGAGCCCCAGGGACCGAGAGCTCTGAGGCAGGAGAGAGCACTTTCAGCATGAGAGGGCAGCTTGTCGGAGGGGCTCAGCCAAGGAGCTTTAGGATCTTGAGAGGCAGGGCTGGAGGGCTGAGTGTGCGGTGTGCCCAGCCCAACCACCAGACCTAGTGGCACGTCTGAGGGAGCTGGGTGCAGAAGTCAGGCGGAGGCGGCACTGTGGGAGCCCTGAGTGCCAGGTCAGGAGTCACTCTTCTCCTGAGGTTGTGGAAAGCACTGGAACGTGTGGAAAGCACTGGAATGTGTGGGAAGACACAGGGCGATTGTGCACCAGTAAGACACATCCAGCAGGATGTACAGGGCCGTTAGAAAGGAGGTGAAGGAAAAGGCAGGAGGCCAAGCAGGCTGCACAGTGGCAGTGGGCAAGGAAAGAAAGGAGCAGCTGAGAGGCGCTGCAGAGGAAAAGCACATGCCGTGGCTCGGGCCAGGTGAGGGAGGAGGTGGGCACGTGGTCTGGTGCCTCACAGCCTGGTGAGCCTTGTGCGGAAGTCAGACAGCAGAGGCTCCTTCACAGAAGGAGCGCAGCCTCTGGAATTCTGGTCGATGGTGTGTTTGAGGATGCTCTCTAAGAACATTAAATGGGCAACCATGAGTGTGGACCTAGAGTTGGGAAAGAGAGCTCACATGAGGTGAGAGATGAAGTCATGGGAGAGAATGGAGATTGCTGAGGTCAGATTCCAAAAGCACCCACACTTGGGAGTGGGAGAAGGCAGAGGACCCAAGGGTGTGCGTGAGCAGGTCTCGGGAGCACAGGCAGGGCCAAGGCAGGGAGCCCGGAGGCCATGCTCCCACCCTCAGCCCACACCAAGGGGAAACCGACGGAGGAGAGATGAGCTGGGATGTGGCTGTGGGCTGTCTCTCGACTGGGGTGTGCCAGTGAGGGCCTGAGGTGCAGTGTGAGGTCAGGTCCAAGCTGTGGTTTGCAGTGCCACAGGCCGGCACGTGTGTGGTCTCTTGGGTTTGGTCCCTGGCTGTGCCAGTGCGTATCTCAAGACCATTGCGGTGATTTCATCTTCTTATCAGCTGATTCACTGATGTGTCTCACGGGTCCCTTTACGAGTAGCCTGAGCAGCTTAAAGAACAGTACTGACACCCTCGCTCCTGTGAGACAGGAGCCTGTGGGTGCAGAAGCAGGGAAATGGACTTCATGCAGACCGCTGGCCCTCCCCTTCTGGAGCAGCGCCAGGAAGGTTCACCCAGGGACACAGGGACTGTGTCCCAGAGGCCACTCTTCACTTGCCGGCCATGCTGCCCCCTCTCGCCTCCTCTGTCTGGTTCCCCTCCCGTCATGTCTGCACTCTGTCTCCACATAGAGCAAATCCTCTCCCTCAGCCACCGCAAACATGCTCCTCCATTGTGACTATGGCCCAGCAGTTCACCCAGGTCAGGGGTCCAGGGATTGCCCTAAAAGTGCTCCCTCCACTCCTCGTATCCTATCAGTGATGCACTGTGCACACTACCTCCTTTACCCCTTGGAACCTCCCTTTTCTCTGTCACCTCTGCCACCACCTTAATTCTAATCACCTGGACAACTGCCCCAGCTGCCCAGCAGGTCTCTCTCCTCTCCCTGTCACCCTGTTTGCCTGATGTGCGTGGCTGCGTGGCACTGGGCCTGGGCTCAGACTCTTGCCCCACCTGGGACATGCATTCCTTCCCCATCCACCTGCCGACCCTCCTTCCCGTGCAAGGCCCAGCTGTGCCCAGCTGTGCCCAGCTGTGCTGTGGGCCCCCCTTCCCACTGCTCCACACACGCTGGCTTTGTTGTCGGTTGCTCGCTCTCCTTCCCGCCATCTGTGAGCTCCTTAAAGAGCAGGGCAAGTTGCCTCTGTGCGGGGACGTCACAGGTGCTCACTAAATGTGTCCTGGATCCCACGGAGAGGGAGAGCCCTGAGTTAGCCATCACCACGAAAGGAGTTAGCATCCACAACTTTGCTCTTTCCATTGCTTTTTATCCTGAGTGGGGCACACAGAGTGTTCCTAGGACAGCCACCTAGCTGCAGTCCACCCTCAGGGATTTCCTTTGGGGGCAGGGACAGTCACTGGTAACACCTCGTCTTTTGTGTAGACAAAGGAGGGCGAGTTCACCCTCTCTGCTATGACGTCTGGAATCCGGCGGAATTGGATCCAGACCATCATGAAGCACGTCCACCCGACCTCCGCCCCGGATGTGACGAGGTAAGACAGTCAGGGTGGCCGAGGGAGCTGCCTCCCTGCTGGCCACCTTGTTCCTTCACAGATCTGTCGTTCTTCTGGGACAGAGCTCACACCCATCCCAGCACAGCCTTCTTCCCTCCTCTGTTCCACCATCTGCTGTCCTCGCTCAGTCTCCTTTTGGCTGCCTGTTTTTTCTGCCTCAGGTTACCTTTTCCTCCTTTAGGCCTGGCCTCTGCAGCCACAGGTAGTCTTTATGCCACTGCCAGGACTGAACTTCATGGAGAGTCTCCCTCTGGCCTGGGCATGGGCCTCTCTGGTGGCTCTGCTCTGGGTGGGTGAGGGCAGCCCTGGGTGCTGCATCCATAGGCCCCCATAGTGTTTCTTTTTCTTGGTCTTTCTGCCTCATTTCTATATCTATTGGATGTCTGTGCAACCAGGAACACCTCTCTTTGAAACTCTTGGTGCTGGAGGCCAACTTGGAAGAGTGTGTCTCCCCCATGTTAACGCTCCGTCATTTGTAGACCTGTGATGCGCTGTGTGCCTTCCTCCCGCTGTCCTAGAAGGTTAGAAACCTGCTGTTTTCATTTTAAAAGGAAGAGGAAAAGATTCCAGAGTGTGGGGCTGGTTCTGTGATGATGGCCAGAATCCGCTACCTTTGCCTAAAGGCTTCCCAGCCCCGCCCGTCCTGAGAGCCTCTTGCTCATACTTGGTGGGTCATGTGGTTGGAATGAGCCTTGAAGCGTGTGTCTTGCCTTAGAGATCGCGCCTGGGGTGGGATCCCTGGTGTGCCCCTTGGCAGTCTGGGCAGCTGTGGCCATGCCAAATCTTTGTGAAGTCCTCACCTCCTCCCTAGTGATGTTGTACCTCTTTGAACAAGAAGTCAGGAAGGGAACCTAAATTAACTCTTTTCTTTAGTCCTTCTTTCCTGTATTTATTGGCATTGTCTGTTCATTCCTTTGTTTATTTTATTTATTTATTTTTTTTTTTGAGGAAGATTAGCCCTGAGCTAACATCTACCGCCAATCCTCCTCTTTTTGCTGAGGAAGACTGGCCCTGAGCTCACATCCGTGCCCATCTTCCTCCTCTTTATATGTGGGACGCCTGCCACAGCATGGCTTGCCAAGTGGTGCCATGTCTGCACCCAGGATCCCAACTGGCGAACCCCGGGACGCTGAAGCGGGACCTGCACACTTAACCGCTGCTCCACCAGGCCAGCCCCCTCCTTCATTTATTAAACCAACAAAATATTTGGTTGTTCCTGAGTTAGTAAGACCAGGAGTTGGTGGCTGGGACAAGCTCTCGGGTATCCTGCCAGGAGAGCTGGCTTGTTCGTCAGTGGCACTCCTCCTGCGTGCAGAGATGAAGGGGCACTCCCGCCCTCCAGGGGTGTCCTGCACCAGCCTCAGCAGCTGCCCCCTGGCTCTTTCCTAGTCAGGAGCAGAGAGCTTTACAAGCCCGACACCCTTTCCGAGCATCTTGAGGATGCCCCCGTAGCAAATCAAGAAAGGCACCTCAGGCTTCTCTGCCAAGGCTGCTGCATGTGCTCCAGGAGGCGGAGGTGGCATGGGCAGTGGGCACCAGAGGGCTTGAGGCCTCTCCTGGCCATTGGCCCCGGCTGCTCAGCAGGCCTGGCTCTGGGCACAGATTGAGGATCCCTGCTGAGAGAAGTCAGCTTTGGGATGTTGCAGGATAGGTCTGTGGCTTTGGCCTCAGAACACGTGTGAAGGACGTACTTGAGCACATGCGTGTGTGCACGTGGCTCATGAGAGGCGTCTCCCAGGCCGGCATTCACACTTCCCTTCCATCCTCAGGTGTTGGCTCTGGGCGGGGACTGCAGGCCCACCAGGACCATGCATTCTGTTTGTGTGGGAAGGTTGAGTGGCTGATGGTCCTCTCGACTAGAATTTACCTCAGAATATTTCAGAGTTAGAAGGAAGCTCGCCTGCCCCGTTTATTTTCAGCCTTTGTGCTTGTTCTCTGTGGGCTTTTAGTTTGTGGCAAATACAGACTTTTTAGTGCTACAAGGCCAAGTCCCAGGAAGGAATTAGATACAAATGTCAGCGGTGCAGGTTGAGCCGCACCGGAGCCCCCTTGCGTCTGCAGTGCGGGGTTACAGGGGCTTCCTGCCTGGGGGCTCGCGGGGCCTCGAGGAGGGGCTTGCTCTCCTGGAGAGAGCCACGGGTCCTGGCTTTCTGTGTTGTCTAACACCTTCTGTGGCTGTAATCCTGGGCCAGTTCTCAGTTCAGTGGTGTTGAAAGATCTGGAGAATTCTTATTCAAATGCACGTGTGGACTTAAATTGGAAACTTGCAGGTCTCACCATTCTGAAGCACTTTGAGTTTTGCTAGTTAGTACTGGCACAGGGGGCTGCAGGGGATGATGGTGACCCTGTCCTCTTTTCCTCGAGTGCCTCTTTCGCAGGCTCCCTTCTCTTTGGCCCCCGTTTAAACAGAGTGCTCCCTGGAGCCCCCCTGCCGGCCCTTGTGACCCCAAGTGGCTTCCAACTCCATTCTGAGGGCTTGGGCAGGACCAGAGGCCACTCTGCTCAGGCTGGGGGTCTCAGGGGCTTGTCCACGGAGCCCAGAGACCTCTGCCTCAAACCGCCATGACTAATGCCCCACCCCCACCAGCACCAGGTTGGGTTCTGGGTCCTCTTCAGGAATCTTTGCTTTGGGGCGAATTAGGAAAAGGCATGGACTCACTGCTGAGCAGGGAGGCCTGCCCTTGAGCACCCACTCCTCACTCACCTCCAGGGTCGGTCACCAAGTTCTGTGCAGGCTCGTGGGTGCCACCTGGATCATCTATTTCACTTGCACACACGTGGTCTTGGGCCTGTCACTGTGACCCATCTGTCACGCCAGCCGCCAGTGTGATTTTCTTAAAACACAGACCTGACCATGTTTTTTACTTATTTATTAAAAATCCTTGAGCCTTTCAGGAGAAGTATCTGGTCTCATTCTGTCACCTCTGCCCAGTGCACGCATGACATAGGGTTGGCTCCCTTCACGACCTTGTGTGGATGATGGTCATGCCTAGTGCAGCCTGGCAAGGCTCTTAGCCATGGCTCTGGGCAGGGCAGGGGCCCCCTCTGCTCCATGATCCCAGGGACAGGCCATCGTTGACACTCCTCTCCGGCAGCTCTTTGGTTAGGGGACCTTCTGAGTATCATCCTGCTGGAAACCTTGGGGCCATCTGCGGCTCTTTCTCTCTTGTACCTGTTCAGAACCTGGTTTGGGTTCTCTCCAAGGAGGTGACGACAGTAAAGGCAGAGTATCCTTTCTTCCCTACCCAACAAGAGCTGTAGCTGAGATAGAAAAAGAATGTGGTGAAAGCAGTGGAGCTGGGTGCTCTGCTAGGGTGGGCAGTTGGCACAGGAGCTCACCTGATAGGCTGTTTGCCCCCTGCCCCCAGCTCACTGCCAGAGGAGAAGAACCGGAGCAGCTCCTCCTATGAGACCTGCCCAAGGCCAAGCGAGAAGCAGGAGGGAGAGCGTGGGGAGCCAGACCCCGAGCAGAAGAGGAGCCGTGCTCGAGAGCGGAGGCGGGAGGGGCGCTCCAAAACCTTTGACTGGGCCGAGTTCCGCCCCATCCAGCAGGCCCTGGCTCAGGAGAAAGCCAGCGCTGTGGGGCCCCCTGACACCCGCGCTGAGGCAGAGCCCGGCGAGCTGGAGCGGGAGCGTGCCAGGCGGCGGGAAGAACGCCGCAAGCGCTTCGGGATGCTTGACACCGTGGACGGGGCGGGCGCTGATGATGCTGCCCTGCGGATGGAGGTCGACCGGAGCCCGGGGCTGCCCCCAACCAGTGACCTCAAGACACAGAATGTCCACGTGGAGATCGAGCAGCGGTGGCATCAGGTGGAGACCACCCCTCTCCGGGAGGAAAAGCAGGTGCCCATTGCCCCTCTGCACCTGTCATCTTCTGACGATGGAAGTGACCGGCTCTCCACACACGAGCTGACCTCTCTGCTGGAGAAGGAGGTAAGCAACCATGGTGGACAGGTGGGCGGGTTCCATGCAGCCACCTTCCCCAAGCACCTGCTATGCCTGGCCGTGGCCTGAGTGGTTCAGCCACATAACACTGAGCAAGATGCTGTCCCTCCCCTCAGGGCCTTGCAGACCACTCAGGGAGACAAATGCTCTGACAGATGAGTCTTCAGAGTACATTGCAGCTGCCAAGAGAGATGGGAGAGGGCCACCTTCTGCAGAGTGGCAGGGATGCGGTGGCAGGCCTGTCCAGAAGGACAGAGGAGTTCGCCATGCGGCAGGGGCACTGCCATTTAGAGCTAGGGGTGGCCAGAGACAGCTGACAGGGTTACAGGCCCACGTGGGGGCCTTGTGTACCCTGTTTCAGGCACGAATGAGAGATTTTAGGGAGGAGAGGGACATGAGCAGAGTTAGGTTTCAGTCTGCAGTAGGCAGGCCTGGTTCGAGCAGGCTGAAGTTGCAAGCAGAGACAAGTCCCGATGCTTTCACGGTGGCCTGGTGCCTGTCGATGAGACCTGATGGGGGTGTAGGACAGGTTAGCAGGAGGCAGAGGCTGGATTCTAGATGTTCAGGATGTAAAATGGAGGCCCTGGGTGCGTGACACTGGTGGGGGATAGATGATTCCCGCCACGCCTCCAAGATGAAGGAGGCCGTGGAAGTCATCGTTCAGCACAGGCTGCGGAGCTGTCTCCAGAGCAGACCACATAGGGCATCCCAGACACAGGGAGGAGTAAGCCAGTCCCAGCATTCGTAACATAATATTTTTCGTCATGAAAATGTATCCAGAAATCAAATCTGGGAAACTTTAACAGTGGATTTATAAGTCTGCACAGGGCGTTCCGTGGCCAAGGAGGCACAGTGTCTTCTAACGGCCTTTTAGGAGCACTCCAAAACATGGTTCACATATGTTCTTGTGCGTAAGTGCTAATTCAAGTTAAATATCAGCTACCTTGACCTGCCTGCACTTCTCATCTTTTTCCTATTTTGTTAAATTCATGAGGCTGACATTTATCACTAGCATCAGCTCTTTGATTTTTTCTATTTTCCATATCTGTTAATACAGTAATAAAGGCAAGTTGCAATAAAATAACAGTTCAAACTGACGTTGCTCTAAACTGCCAAAATGAGCCTGCTAGCCAGCAGGCCACACACTGGACCATAAACTTGTTGGGACAGCAATGTCTGAAAGTCAGGAGTCTCTGTACCTCTCCCAGCACAGCCTGGCAGCACCCTGCCTATCCGCTGCACACTCCGCTGCCCGCTCACCACAGCTCCTGGGGCAGAGCAGGATGGGGTGGCCTACATAGCCCAGCATCCAGTAGACACTGGGAATGTCTAGGGAAGAGGTAGACTTGTGAATGGCTGAATTCAAAGCCACTAAAAGCAAGAAGGCTGTGAAGTAGCTTACTCGCTTTCCACTTCTTGTGGAACCCTTCAGGAACTGTTTTTGCAAACAGAATTTTATATGAAATTCATCGTATAAAGCTGGTCAAACGGAGTTGTTTCAGTGGAAGCCCAAGCAGGGCCTGGAGTGAGGCCTGCCTCGGGGCAGCACTGGCCCGTTTGACCACACAGAGGGAACCAGAGAGACCCAGTGGATGGTTTTCCTTCTGACACAGGCACAAAGCCCTCATTTCCTGGTGGGGTCTGCATGTTGGATCCTTTAGCAGGTGTGAAAATGATGTGGGTGCCCAGGGTGACAAGTCTGCTGGTGTTATTTACAGCTTGAGCTGGCACCTTCAGTTCCAGGTGCTGCAGACAAAGACCAGCTCAGCATATCCACTGCAGGTGGCTACGGTACGTGAAAGGAGAGCAGAGGACCCATGTGTGCTCCAGCCTAGCTAGGGACAGAAGTGCCACCATGGGCCTGTGCTGTGCTGCTGCTTCTATTTGTCACCATCGTTTTGCTTAAAAATGTGTGTCTTTTTGCCAACAGTTGGAGCAGAGCCAGAAGGAGGCCTCGGACCTTCTGGAGCAGAACCGGCTCCTGCAAGACCAACTGAGGGTGGCTCTGGGCCGGGAGCAGAGCGCCCGGGAGGGCTACGTGCTGCAGGTAGGGCTGAGGGGCTGCCACGGCCCTCAGGGTGCGCTCAGGGCTTCAGTGTGAAGGACCCAGGCAGGCTAGGAATGTGCAAAACCTGGCTGAGCAGGGGCAGCCGCTCCCAAGCGCTCTGCCTCTGGGCTCCCCTGCCACAGGATTGGGCTCTCCGTGCAGTGGGTCTTGTTTATTTTTCCTCCTCGTATGACGTTTTGGAGACTACCTGAAACCTCTATGTCTAATGGTTTGTTCTTTGTTTTTTAATAAAATAACTTGGGTTATCTTTCCTTTTGGCTGTCAAAGTACCCAATATATATTTATTATAAATACCATATAGTTGCATGTCATTTCTCATTGTTTTCACAATAGCTGTATTAGGCCCATTTTACAGAGTAAAGAAAGTGAGTAACAGGCAGCCAAGTGCCTCCTTATGACCAAGTTAGTGGCAGAGCTGGACCTGGTTCCCTGTCCCTGGCCATGTCTGTGCCACACATACAGGGCAACCCAGGACTATTGCCACTAGCCTAGAGGCCCCGCTTCTTACTCTGTGCCTAGGCTGAAGTTTCAGGGGGAAAACGTGGCCACCCAGTGCTGAGCTGAGAGCCCAAACCCATTGGACTCACAGAGAGCAGGGGGCACTGCCACAGTGCCAGGAAGTCACCAGGACAGGGCAAGCCAGCACAAGCCAGCTGTCCTGCAGTGTTCTAGGCCCCGTTCTAGTTCTGGGGTACAAAATAACACACTGTGGCCCCATCAAGCTGATGTGCTGGTGGGGAGAGGTGACTGATGAGTGATTGCTGGGGAAAAGCAAAATGGGATGATGGAACGGAGAACTCGAGCTCTCAGCCAAGCCTAAGGACATGGCATTTGAGTCAGGATCTTGCCACCGACAGGCAGAGCTGGTGCTCCTGCCCTGCAGTGTCAGTCTCCTTGCCTGTGTAGACTTGACTTTGTCCCCGAGGTCCCTTCTGACTCTCAGTGACCCAGAGTCTCGGTGATAAGTTGCTGTGTCAACATTTTCAGACCACAGCGCACTGGCCTTCTGTGTCTGAGCTGTCCCCAGGCAGCACGTGGGCCCTCCGGCAGAGTCCCCCTCCGGCCTCTCTCCATGCCACTTTTGTTGTCTGTTTCCTCTGCCTTCTCTTTTCCCCCAGCTTTGACCAAGGCCCTGGGTGCCCTGCATGCCCTGGACCCTCCTCCCTAGCCCTATCAGCATAGTTCCTGCTGTGCTCAGTTTGGATGCGGGCACCGGGAACCAGTGATGGTGGGCATCCCTCTTGTCTACGTCTCACTCTAGGGCTTTCTGGGTCATTCATGCAGACCCCCCCAGCTTTGGGGAGCATCTTTTTAAACCTTGGTGGGGCTCCCATCCTCCACAGATTCATAAAGATACTAGCAGCAGATTTTGCACATTGCTAACCTAGAATCCGCCTCCACGTCTAGCTTGGATGATTGCATGAGCCTGCACTGAAGCCCCTGTCAGTCAGCCCTGGGCAGAGCTGTCTCCTAACACTTTCCTACAAGGCCTAAACATAGGTTACTTTTAACCTCCTTTTGTGCTTCGAAAATACTAATAATCAAAAGTCTGAATGAGCAAGGGGCCTTTGGGGTTAAGGGTCAGGAGGAGTGGGTGCTGTGCTAACTGTGCTGGGAGGAGGCGCTTGCATGGTTTTGATGTGAAGTGTAGAGTGTAACTTTAACTTAAGGTACCTGAGTGTCACATCTGTGGCTTCCCCACCAACAGACCTAGAGGGGCCACAGGCAGGCCAAATTCTTAGTCTGGGCATTTCTCACTCTTATTCATGTTCTTGTTTTCCTTACATTAATTAGTTCTGTCTATTCTGCATGCCTTTCAGTTTGGGGAGTTTTGTTTCATTTGTGTTTTGTTTTGTTTTTTGCATGCTTCACTTTCTTATTTTAAATTCCTCAAAGGTTTGTTTGTTTCGTTGATTATCATATTTTACTCCATGGTTTCTGTTTTCCCCTCGTTTTGTCTTCTTGCAGGTAGAGATTAGTTCTTCCTGTCACTGTAGAGGACGGGCGCCACTTCCCAAAGGAAAATGTTTCCATGGCACCTTGCTGACATCCCCAGTAGTTGCCTCCCTTCCTTCTCTCCCTGTCCTAGAAGGAAGTGACGTCATCACCTGCACCCTGGGTCTGCGCTTTTTTAGGGTTTGTCTAGAGCCATGTACCTTGTGTTTTCCAAAACAAACAAGCAGATACCAATGCTCTGCTCCTCCCCTGTCCTCCTTCCTGGCGTTCCTTGTCCTTCAGCCTTCGTTTTGCTTATCAGTGTGTTCCATTACTCAGTTTCGTTTGGTTTATTTCTCCTAGAAGCTATTCAGTTAGAGCTGTTTCGATGTTATTGTCTGTGTTTTCTGTTTACCTACAAGCAACTACTTACCAAAAAAATTCAGATGACTTGTTGGATTTTCTTTTTAATGAAAAAAAATTGTGCAAAGGATAAAAGGCAAAAGCTCACCAAGGATCTTTTCTGTGGTTGACCCTGGCCAGAGGTGTGACACTCAGAACTGGGAGGCCCGAGTGCTACTAACCAGTGTTTAATCGGTTTTTTTAAGACTGAAGTGGCCACTTCCCCATCCGGTGCCTGGCAGAGGCTCCATAGAGTCAACCAAGATCTCCAAAGTGAGCTGGAGGCCCAGTGCCAGCGCCAGGAGCTGATCACGCAGCAGATCCAGTCCCTGAAGCGTAGCTATGGGGAAGCCAAGGATGCGATCCGGCACCACGAGGCCGAGATACGGAGCCTCCAGGCGAGGCTCAGCAATGCCGCTGCCGAGCTCACCATCAAGGAGCAGGCGCTGGCCAAGCTCAAGGGTGACCTGAGGCTGGAGAAGGACAAGGTCCGCGAGCAGCTGGAGGAGTGGCAGCACAGTGAGGCTGCGCTAAGCGGTCAGCTGCAGGCCAGCGAGCAGAAGCTCAAGAGCGCTGAGGCTCTGCTGCTGGAGAAGACGCAGGAGCTGCGGGACCTGGAGATGCAGCAGGCACTGCAGAGGGACCGGCAGAAGGAGGTGCAGAGGCTACAGGAGCGCATTGCTGACCTCAGCCAGCAGCTCAGCGCGAGTGAGCAGGCCCAGAGACTGATGGAGGAGAAGCTGCAGAGGAACTATGAGCTGCTGCTCGAGAGCTGCGAGAAGGAGAAGCAGGTGTTGCTGCAAAACCTGAAGGAGGTGGAGGACAAGGCTAGCGCCTATGAGGACCAGCTCCAGGACCACGAGCAGCAGATGGAGGTGCTCCAGAAGGAGAAGCTAAGCGCCAAGTTCGAGGGCAGCGAGGTAGTGCATCAGCTAGAGGAGCAGCTGGAGATGAAAGAGGCCAGCATCCAGAAGCTGGCTGAACACGTCCAGAGCCTCAGGGACGAGCGGGACCTGATTAGGCAGCGGTTCCAGGAGCTGATGGATCGCGTGGCCCTGTCTGACGGGGACATTGCCAAGCTTCAGGAGAAGCTGAGGGGAAGAGAGGCAGACTACCAGAGCCTGGAGCACTCCTACAGGAGGGTGGCCAGCCAGCTCCAGAGTGTGCACACGCTGCTGAAGGACAAGGAGGAAGAGCTGAAGCACATCAAGGAAGTGCATGAGAAAGTTCTGGAAAAGAAAGACCAGGACCTCAATGAGGCTTTGGTTAAAATGGTTGCCTTAGGGAGTAGCTTAGAGGAAACAGAAATGAAGCTCCAGGCAAAGGAAGAGATTTTAAGGAAATTTGCAAAGGAGGCTTCAGAGGATGCACAGGAGCCTCAGAGCTTCCTGGGAGAAGCAGAGGAGGATGGCGTGGCACCCTCAGGCCCACAGCTCCAATCCCCAGGCACGCCTCCAGGCTTACCCCACTCGGTGATCGAGGATGAGGACCTGGGGGCTGCCCTGGGAGAGGAACGTGGTGACAGCAGCCCCAGGAGAGAAGACGGTGTGGTACCCCCGAAGTCCGAAGCGCCTGACAGGGAGGGGCACCTGCATAGCACAGCAAAACCCGACCAGGGAGTGCCTGGTGTTAAAAGGCAAAGAATTCGGTTCTCCACGATCCAGTGCCAAAAATACACCCACCCTGACGGGTCTGAGAAGACGTGGGCCAGCAGCACGTCGTCCGACACCAGCCAGGACCGGTCGCCCTCAGAGGAAAGCATGTCCTCAGAGGCCACCCCCAGCTCACTCCCTGCGACCAGCGACTCCGACACCTACCTCTCCATAATACACTCCCTGGAGACCAAGCTCTATATCACGGAGGAGAAACTCAAAGATGTGACAGTGAAGCTGGAGAGCCAGCAGGGCCAGAGCCAGGAGGCCCTGCTTGCGTTGCACCAGCAATGGGCCAGCACTGAGGCACGGCTGCGCGAGCAGCTCCGTGCCAGCCTGCTCCAGGTCGGAGCGCTGGCCTCCCAGCTGGAACAGGAAAGACAAGCGAGGGTGAAGATAGTTGAAGATCACGTCGGGGAGCTCGGCGACTTCCAGGTGAAAAACAGTCAGGCCCTGGCTTGCTTAGAAAACTGCCGAGAACAGCTCCGATCTCTGCCAGGGGCCAACCAGGAGGAAGCACAGGATGTAGGAGCGAGCCCCCTGGCTAGCGTGGAGAGCGCACTGGTCGGAGCCATCCAGGTCCTGCGGCACTGGCCAGCTCCTACAGATGGTGGGGCCCTTGCTCAGCTAGAGGAAGAAAGTTTCTTGGAGGAAGGGAAAGCGACTTCGCAGCAGCCACCACACCAGCCTGAACTGACCGAGGAGGAGCAGCTGAAGCTCCTTTCTGATCAAATAGCTCTGGAAGCCTCACTGATCAATCAAATAGCAGACTCTCTAAAAAACACAACGTCAGATATCTCGCGCGTTCTCCACGAGATTGCTCAGTCAGGAAAGTTGCCACTGGAGTCTGAGAGTGCTGCCATCTGTCCTGGGGCCCCAGCAGACACCTGGGCTAAGAAGGTGCTGGTAGATGGCGAGTTCTGGAGCCAGGTTGAGTCCCTGAGTAAGCACCTGGGGACCCTGGGAGGAGAGCCAGCCGGTGCCTCAGGA